TAGAGTATTGAATAATGCAAATTTCGAATGGTGGTCATCTTCTGTTTTATATTGTAAAAATGACTATGAAATGTTGATGATGCTTATACTAAATTTATTAATTGTTTCTCTTTTCTTCTCGATAGGGGTAACAATCAAAATCAAGGAAATACCATCAATCCTGAACATGGATCCTTAAAGAGCCAAGAAACAACTGAAATAATGATAGAGATCGATGTTAATGTTGAGAATGTTTCTGTTTTGCAAGACTTCGAAATCATAAATAAGGAAGATTGCGTTGAGGAAGTGGTAGAAGTAGGTTCCTTAGAAAACAATTTGAACAATATACCAAAAGAAGGCATTACAGATAGATCGGATTTATCCGATGTAAAAGCTAACCTTCAAGAAGATAACGAAACTTTTGATGACCCTATCAATACAGAAATGGAAAATTTGTACAATATACCAGAAGAAGGCATTGCAGATAGATCGGATTTATCCGTTGTAAAAGCTGACCTTCAAGAAGATAAAGAAACTTTTGATGACCTTATCAATACAGAAATGGAAAATTTGAACAATATACCAGAAGAAGGCATTGCAAATAGATCGGATTTATACGATGTAAAAGCTGACCTTCAAGAAGATAACGAAACTTTTGATGACTCAATCAATACAGAAATGGAAAATTTGAACAATATACCAGAAGAAAGCATTGCAGATAGATCGGATTTATACGATGTAAAAGCTGACCTTCAAAAAGATAACGAAACTTTTGATGACGTTATCAATACAGAAATGACAAATTTGCAAGACGTCGAAGGTATGAATAAGGAAGATTGCGCTGAGGAAGGGGTTAATGTGGGTTCTTTGGAAAACAATGAAAATAATAAACCAGAAGATGATATTGAAGTGGTACCTGTAAATGCATTTTTTGATAACGATATCATTCCGGAAATGGCAAATGACGACGCTAAAGCTGAGAGTGGAACTATTTTACAAGAGTGCGAATACACAAATGGACCAAATTGCGAGGAGATTGATGATAAAGGAGCAAACAATATAGAAGAAGAACCAGATATACCAGAAGAAGAACTAGATATACCAGAAGAAGAATCAGATATAATACAAGAAGAAACAGATATACCAGAAGTACAACCAGATGTACATAATATAATCGATGACTCTCAAAGTGATAATGCATATCTTGATAAATCTACAGAACTGCAATTCGTAGACAATGATGGTAATGATGAGAGAGGATCTCATCTGGAGACTTGCAAAACATTAAATGCAAAATTTGATGATGAAGAAGAGGATGGAGCACGTTGTTTAGAAATCAATATACCAAAAGAAGTCGTCATGGACGATGAAGAATGTACTGAAATATTAATCATTAGAAATAAGATATTGGAAATATTTCCCGATGTAGAAGAATCGTATC